GAGCTGAACAAATAGTCATATACTCACTTGTCAGATGCTAGTGTAAAATGCTATGGTTCTGATCTGGTAGGTCCAAATCCTCACTTGTGACATCGTTACATTGCTCAGCCTCTGCAAGCTTGATAAATTAAATTTTGCATTACCTGGAAGGCTGAATGTATATCAAGTGCCCATAGTGCTTTCTCCTACTAGGTGCCTGTAGACATGTGGACACCTGCTTCAATGCACTATAATTACAGCATGTTGGAGCAGACTTAACTGTGCTAATTAGCATGTTCCAGCAGCCTCGGCATCTTGTGTTTTTTTTTTTAGTGTCCCTGTGCTTCACAATGGCAGTTTGACAAGCTTTAGTTAAAGTGCCCCCACTGCCATTTTGAAGTATGGGACACTGAATTCACGAAAGGCTGCAGGTGCTTTAATTAAAGCACCCCACCCCTGGAGCATGTGTAAAGACACCCACTCTGTCCAGATGACTACACAAAGTTTTGCTAGTGTTTCATAACAGTATTTCTTAAGCAGGCCCATTTTTTGGGCTCCTTTTCAGTCCACACTGCACTTTGCACAACTGAATTTGCCTGTCAATTTTTATAGGCCCTGGCCACTCTCTTAGAAATAATCAAAACTATATTATCTGTCTATCTGCAGTAACTTGGCAGGAAAACTTTTTTCAGCTGTACCACGTTTGTTTTCAGGCTCAGTCCTAACTAAAGGGTTTGGCATTATTCATACATTGTCCAGTATGATCCTTTGAGCTACATCATAACCTTTGTCTGTGCCTTGGAATTTGAAGTCCTTCAACTGAAAGTGTTGAACTCTTGCTCTACACCATAATTAACATACTTGAGAGTTTATACTTGCTGCCCACATTTTCTTCCTTTGGATTTTATACAACCTGTTCATTGTCATCATTGTGAAGAATACTTTTTTTACCAAAACTGGCCAAATTCCCCCTTTCCAATTTTCAGCAATTTTTGTCAATGGAAATGTTTATCCAGAACCACTGCAAGCTATGCCTTCAAATCCACTCTGCTGATAACTGAGATCAGCAGTGCAGAACAAAGAGGAAATTACTGTCCTTAAATCTGTCAGTATACTTCCAGTTTTCCTATTGACTTCTTGAAATCACTCAGGACTAGAAGTACACCCCAGACAAGAGAGTAGTGCAAGGTCAGACTTGTCCCAGGGAACACTCTTAGCTACTCTCTCTGTGATAGATGGACTGCCTTTCAAACTCCCTGATACACTAGGGAAGTATGTGTACTTCTCCACCCTTCTCTGGATTTGCAGGCAACTGTAGAGATGGGACTCTGTTCTACTTAGGCTTCTTAGCGAGATCCTACTCAGCACAGTGATACAGAGTGTCTTCAGTGTGGTGTTGAGCATATGGCAACCTTACCTGGGCCAGAAGTGGGAAAAGGCCCTACCACCTTTCTTCTACAAAAGAAGACACATGGTCCTGGAAAAATATTCAAAGCTTGTTTTCTCTACTGTGCTATCTTTTTCTGTTTTTTATGTTCCATTGTTGTCCTTGATATAAATATGCCATTGCCCTATTACCAATGGGTTCTTTATCTAATCTCTCCTTCTATCCTTCTCAGAAGCAAAAATCATGCCAATGTTGCATTTTTATTTACTCTATGCTCTTTACCTTTTATATTACACAAGGTTAAACCTCAAATATTACACAAGGTTATCCATCTTTTTTTTTTCTTATGCTCTGTAGCCCTTGCTGTATGAAATCAAAGGCTTTCACCCTTGTGAGTAAATGCCCTACAAGTCTCATTTGAATCATGTTTTCCTGCTGCCAGAACTTGGAATTTATTATTGATCATAGAAACAAACTTTTCTCTCTGAGACTTTTAAAAAGTCTTCTTGCCTCTTTCAGCTCTTGCTAGCAAGATCTTGCATTTTAAGTTTCTTCCCTAATCTGCCACATCGTACTGACAAATCCTGAGGGGCATTCAACACATGCTTGTTTTGGGGGTTCTCTTTTTCTTGTGGCTATTGCATATTGCCTTTATTCCACAACCTTACTAGTAGGAATGAACTTGGATTAACTCAATCTGTGAAAATCCTATCCCACCCTTACCTTTACTCAGGTGTCAGAAGAGGTAACATCTATGCAAATTAATCGCTACTTGCCAGAGTCATAACCAGTAATATTTGTCCTTTGGGTGCAAGCCCCGATGGCTCACCCTCCCTCCACCCCCAGTTCAGTGATCCTACTGCTGTGGGGGGAGATGCTGCCAGTGCCCAATTCCATTGCCACCAGGACATCACAACACTGAATTCAGCAGCACCTCCTTCTATAGCAGTACTGACCCCTCTCCAAGTGTCCTTATTTCTAGCCCTTTCCTGAGTAACACCCCAACTCCCTATGCTAGTGCTTCATTTAAATCAGTGCCCTGGGGTCATTCCCTGGTCACCCACTGTTGTACAGTACTGCTAGTTACTACTGAATTCAAGCTATTTCCAAAACAAGCCAAAGCTCCTATATATCATTGCTTCATTTTCGTCTCTCACTTTTTACTCTATTCAAGAGACTCAATCATTTCTTCCCCTTCCTGTTCTCTAGAGCTACTTGTTTCACATGCCAACACTGAACCTAGATATTTGAGTCTTCTAGCAGTTGAGCTAGTTATTCCTGATGTTCTGCTTGATCTGTGTGGGTTTTTGGTGCGTATAACATGTTGGAATTATGACTAATTTCCAGATAGTTCTGTGTAGTAGTGACATTCTCTGCAAAAGATTTTAAAAGGAAAACTGGCCACAACCCCATTCTTCCTATTGAGAGAGAATTATCAGAGAAAGCAAGATACTGCAGTAAGCATCTCTGTGAAGTCTTGGACTTGTCATTGTGTTAAACCACATTTACCACTACAGATTTTCTGTTAGCCTATGACTTTTTTTCCAAAGACCCAGTTAAAATATTTGTTAATTAATATTGTAACTCTTCTGCTGATGTATTTTACAGGTTTTTATTGAACCTATATAGAAGACAGAAGAACAACTGTTCATTTCATTGCAGGAGAGAGACATCACATTTTCAAAAGCCTGTTCTGAGCTTTAGATGGAGAGTTCCACTTGTGAGGTTTTTGTCTCTGAAAAGTTACAAAATCCAAAATAAAAGCTGAAAAAAAAACACTTAACCGCTGAGGTATGGAATACCTCTGCACATGGCAACATTAATTAAGGACACAGTGCTGTTAAGCAGAGCTGGAGGTGAATTTTGCTCCTTATCTGCCACCAAATAAGCAGGACAGAGTGAACTATGGCAAGTATTTCAGCATCTATAGGGTCCAATGTTCCACTGTCTTTCTTGCCATTTACCCAGAACTCTCCATTGGTCTACCTTGATGAAGAACTTTGTTACACATTAATTTAGGCGACTCCTGGAACTCTTTAACCCCTGGATTGTCCACGCATTAACATGTAAAACTAGTTTTAAGTGCCCTGTAAGCAGCTTAAAGTTATGCCACTTCAGAGCTGGTTTCATTGCAATCTGGGTTACCCCACTTGTGTTACACTAATGTATAGCCACTCTAGGCTACACATTTGTGTAACACCACCCTGCTCATGGCCCGTATTGAACCAGCTGCCCTGCTACTCCCAATCCCCCAGATCCTGCCACCATGTCCTGCTGCCCCAGATCGTCACTCACTGTGTTTTCCTCCCCCGCCCCACCCATAGTTCCTAGGTTACTAGTGGCTGGTGGTACTGTTCTGGGGGAACATGCAGGGAAGGAGAATGTGCCTGTCTTGCTGCTGTTGCTGCTGCTATCTGGGCGGAGAGTCTTAAAAGCATCTGCAGTAGCACAAACAACAATCAACATTTGAGAAGCTTAAAGTGTAATGTGTAACAAAATCCCAAGAGAGATCTCTTGAATGTACATAGGATCTGACCTGTACTCTCATCTGAAGCCCTAGTCCATCCCAGCTGAGCCTGCCAAAGAGTTATAAATTGGTGCCAGTTATGAGCGGTGACCACTTTGTCATCTTCTCAGTCCACCTGCCAGTAGACTGTCAGCCTCAGTATCACATTTCCAGCTTTGTGCTTTAAGTTGAAGCCTTACAGTCATTTAAAAACAAGTGTTAGTTGCAACATTTCCCTTTATTCCTTTCCCCTTGTACCATACTAGGAAACTATTGTGGTAACAGAATACTTAAAAGCAGCAAGACAGACATATGGGCTAAGTACAGACAGTCAAAAAGCACAAGGCTGAATCAATTCAGTCTTTGCAGGTTAGTTTAAACTATGTCCACTGAACCGATAACCAAGTGAACAGACATTCACTTCTGATTCTGGAAATGCAGCCACATGCCTGCAGTGGCCCAGGCCAGAAGCTAAGGGGCTCTAGAGCACGCCTCCCAGCTCCACAGGAGCAGATAGCTTGAGATAAGGCTAGTCTGCCCACCTTGTGAAGCAGGGTTTGCAGGGGAGGTGCAATGCATCCTGGGAACCTGGAGTTAACTTTAATCTGGAGGGGATCTGGGAGACAAGTTCAATAAACCAATTTAACTTAAATCAGTTAAGTCTGACTCTACATTCATCCAGGTTTATCTTAAACCAGTTTCAGTCATTTTGAAAGTAGTTTATGTGCATTGAACTTTTGTTGTTACACATTTGAACTGGTTTTTGATTACATATACTGGTTTGTGTAATTTCTGTCCCCAGCCATGGAAGCCACTCTGAACTTACACAACAACCTTTTCTTTACATGTCCAAGCGCATTACAAGCCACATATGTGTCTCTCTACTCTTCTACTTAACAATTACTTATAAAATCTGTTATACAAATGGATAAATTAAAGCATAACAGTGTTAAGTGAACCATGTCAGGTCACAAAATGATTCAGGTTAAGATGCAAGAACAAAACCTACAAGTCTTTACTCAGTTTTTCCATATGCTAATCACACTGCCACACTTTGTAGTCTCTAAAGCTCCCTTTCATTCTAAGTTAATAGCTGTATAAAGATAATGGACCAATTTCTCTTAATATCATTTCATAAATTTGATAATTTAGCCTAATGTATTTTTCAATTACTAGATTATTAATTTTGATGCATACTTAGAGGAACCAATTGAAGGAGAGGGCAGAACACTAAACACAGGCAACA